ATATAAAATCACTGTTGATAATTTTCAGGTGGCACCTGTCCAATTTATTTGAATATTAACATTTGGTAGACATGCCTGGTCGGTCAAATGTGGGTATATAGAAATTTCACTCAATTAAATGAAATCACTTGCAACAACATATTATAGGAGGTGCAAAGATGTTCATTGTGTAATATGGTAACACCCTGTTAAATAGAAAGCTCTGACAATATTCCTGTGTATTAGCTTTTGTTTAAAGAGACAACTTTTGTAATGATTGTTTGATATTTACATGCAAGGATTTGTAAACTAATAAAAACTTCCTCAAATAATATTTTTAAAGCATTTTGGAAGAATTGCAGATAGCGCAAATGTTGGCAGAATGATTGATAAATAAAGGTGAGGACAGGGCAGTCATACATAGCTATCTGGATTGTGTGGTAAGCTGGGCCCATCCCAACAAAATGAGCCAAATGCAATGTCATACATCTGGGCAGAAAGAACGCAGTCCATATCTAAAGAATGGGGGGCTGTATCCTGGAAAGCAGTGACTCTGAAAAAGGTTTTAAGGGTCATAGTGGATAAACCGTTCAATATGAGCTCCCAGTGTGATGCTCTGGCAAAAAGCCCTAACGTCCTTAGGGTATGTCTACACTATGAAATCAGGTCGAATTTATAGAAGTCAGTTTTCTAGAAAGCGTTTTTATACAGTCGACCGTGTGTGTCCCCACACAAATGCTCTAAGTGCATGTAGTCGGCGCAGTGTGTCCACAGTACTGAGGCAACCGTCTATTTCCAGAGTGTTGCACTGTGGGTAGCTATCCCACAGTTCCCGCAGTCTCCGCCGCCCATTTGAATTCTGGGTAGAAATCCCAGTGCCTGATGGGGCTAAAACATTGTCGCAGGTGGTTCTGGGTACATATCGTCAGGCCCCCCTTCCTTCCCTCCTTCCGTGAAAGCAAGGGCAGACGATCGTTTTGCGCTTTTTTTCTTGAGTTACCTGTGCAGACACCGTACCACAGCAAGCATGTAGCCCGCTCAGCTAACCATCACTGTATGTCTCCTGGGTGCTGGCAGACGCGGTACTGCATTGCTACACAGCAGCAGTTTATTGCCTTTTGGCAGCAGACAGTGCAGTATGACTGGTAGCCGTCGTCGATGTAGTCCTGGGTGCTCTTTTAACCGACCTCCATGAGGTTGGGGCGCCTGGGCAAACATGGGAGTGACTCAGCCAGGTCATTTCCCTTTTAAGTTTTGTCTCATGGCGATTGAGTCCTACCGGCAGTGCACTGTCTTTTAAATAGCAGCCAGCAGAAGAGGATGCCCAGCAGTCATATTGCACCATCTTCTGCCGAGCACCCAGGAGATGACGATGGCTAGCGGTCGTACTGCACAGTCTGCTGCCAGCAAGATGTATAAAGATAGATGAAGTGGCTCAAATCAAGAAATAGACCAGATTTGTTTTGTATTCATTTTCTCCTCCCTCCCTCCATGAAATCAACGGCCTGCTAAACCCAGTTTTGAGTTCTATCCTTGAGGTTTTGAGTTCTATCCTTGAGGGGGCCATTCAGTTTCTCGCAAAGCCACCCCCTTTGTTGATTTTAATTCCCTGTAAGCCAACCCTGTAAGCCATGTCATCAGTCGCCCCTCCCTCCGTCAGGGCAATGGCAGACTATCGTTCTACGCCTTTTTTCTGTGCAGACGCCATATCACAGCAAGCATGGAGCCCGCTCGGATCACTTTGGCAATCAGGAGCACATTAACACCACACACATTATCCAGCAGTATATGCAGCACTAGAATCTGGTAAAGCGAAACCGGGCGAGTAGGCGACGTCAGCACGGTGACGAGAGTGATGAGGACACTCATCCTCAGGAAGGCCAAATCACACCTGGAGCTGCAGCTAGCGAGAGATGTCAAGAGTAACAAGAAGGGTTTCTTCAGGTATGTTGGCAACAAGAAGAAAGCCAAGGAAAGTGTGGGCCCCTTAATGAATGAGGGAGGCAACCTAGTGACAGAGGATGTGGAAAAAGCTAATGTACTCAATGCTTTTTTTGCCTCTGTCTTCACTAACAAGGTCAGCTCCCAGACTGCTGTGCTGGGCATCACAACATGGGGAATAGATGGCCAGCCCTCTGTGGAGAAAGAGGTGGTTAGGGACTATTTAGAAAAGCTGGACGTGCACAAGTCCATGGGGCCAGACGAGTTGCATCCGAGAGTGCTAAAGGAATTGGTGGCTATGATTGCAGAGCCATTGGCCATTATCTTTGAAAACTCGTGGTGAACGGGGGAAGTCCCGGATGACTGGAAAAAGGCTAATGTAGTGCCCATCTTTAAAAAAGGGAAGAAGGAGGATCCTGGGAACTACAGGCCAGTCAGCCTCACCTCAGTCCCCGGAAAAATCATGGAGCAGGTTCTCAAAGAATCAATCCTGAAGCACTTACATGAGAGGAAAGTGATCAGGAACAGTCAGCATGGATTCACCAAGGGCAAGTCATGCCTGACTAATCTAATCGCCTTCTATGATGAGATTACTGGTTCTGTGGATGAAGGGAAAGCAGTGGATGTATTGTTTCTTGACTTTAGCAAAGCTTTTGACACGGTCTCCCACAGTATTCTTGCCAGCAAGTTAAAGAAGTATGGGCTGGATGAATGCACTATAAGGTGGGTAGAAAGTTGGCTAGATTGTCGGACTCAACTGGTAGTGATCAATGGCTCCATGTCTAGTTGGCAGCCGGTGTCAAGTGGAGTACCCCAGGGGTCGGTCCTGGGGCCGGTTTTGTTCAATATCTTCATTTAATGTGTGGATTGCACTCAGCAAATTTGCGGATGATACTAAACTGGGAGGAGTGGTAGATACGCTGGAGGGCAGGGATAGGATACAGAGGGACCTAGAAAAATTGGAGGATTGGGCCAAAAGAAATCTGATGAGGTTCAATAAGGATAAGTGCAGGGTCCTGCACTTAGGACGGAAGAACCCAATGCACAGCTACAGACTAGGGACCGAATGGCTAGGCAGCAGTTCTGCGGAAAAGGACCTAGGGGTGACAGTGGACGAGAAGCTGGATATGAGTCAGCAGTGTGCCCTTGTTGCCAAGAAGGCCAATGGCATTTTGGGATGTAGAAGTAGGGGCATAGCGAGCAGATCGAGGGACGTGATCGTCCCCCTCTATTCGATATTGGTGAGGCCTCATCTGGAGTACTGTGTCCAGTTTTGGGCCCCACACTACAAGAAGGATGTGGAGAAATTGGAGAGAGTCCAGCAGAGGGCAACAAAAATGATTAGGGGACTGGAACACATGACTCATGAGTAGAGGCTGAGGGAACTGGGATTGTTTAGTCTGTGGAAGAGAAGAATGAGGGGGGATTTGATAGCTGCTTTCAACTATCTGAAAGGGGGTTCCAAAGAGGATGGATCTAGACTGTTCTCAGTGGTAGCTGATGACAGAACAAGGAGTAATCGTCTCAAGTTGCAGTGGGGGAGGTTTAGGTTTAGGTTAGGTTAGGTTGGATATTAGGAAAAACTTTTTCACTAGGAGGGTGGTGAAACACTGGAATGTGTTACCTAGGGAGGTGGTAGAATCTCCTTCCTTAGAAGTTTTTAAGGTCAGGCTTGACAAAGCCCTGGCTGGGATGATTTACTTGGGGATTGGTCCTGCTTTGAGCAGGGGGTTGGACTAGATGACCTCCTGAGGTCCCTTCCAAACCTGATATTCTATGATTCTATGACATGGACACAGACTTCTCTCAAAGCATGGGCCCTGGCAGTGTGGACATCATGGTGCTAATGGGGCAGGTTCATGCGGTGGAATGCCAATTCTGGGCTCGGGAAACAAGCACAGACTGGGGGGACCGCATAGTGTTGCAGGTCTGGGACGATTCCCAGTGGCTGCGAAACTTTTGCATGCGTAAGGGCACTTTCATGGAACTTTGTGACTTGCTTTCCCATGCCTGAGGCTCAAGAATACCAAGATGAGAGCAGTCCTCACAGTTGAGAAGTGAGTGGCAATAGCCCTGTGGAAGCTTGCAATGCCAGACAGCTACCGATCAGTTGGGAATCAATTTGGAGTGGGCAAATCTACTGTGGGGGCTGCTGTGATGCTAGTAGCCAATGCAATCAAAGATCTGCTGATATCAAGGGTAGTGACCCTGGGAAATGTGCAGGTCATAGTGGATGGCTTTGCTGCAGTGGGATTCCCAAACTGTGGTGGGGCCATAGACGGAACCCATATCCCTATAGAGCACCAAGCCGGCGAGTACATAAACCGCAAGGGGTACTTTTCAGTAGTGCTGCAAGCACTGGTGGATCACAAGGGACGTTTCACCAACATCAACGTGGGATGGCCGGAAAAGGTACATGACGCTTGCATCTTCAGGAACTCTGGTCTGATTCAAAAACTGCAGGAAGGAACTTTATTCCCAGACCAGAAAATAACCATTGGGGATGTTGAAATGCCTATAGTTATCCTTGGGGACCCAGCCTACCCCTTAATGCCATGGCTCATGAAGCCATACACAGGCAGCCTGGACAGTAGTCAGGAGCTGTTCAACTACAGGCTGAGCAAGTGCAGAATGGTGGTAGAATGTGCATTTGGATGTTTAAAAGCGCGCTGGCGCAGTTTACTGACTCGGTTACACCTCAGCAAAGCCAATATTCCCACTGTTATTACTGCTTGCTGTGCGCGCCACAATATCTGTGAGTAAGGGGTTGACGTTTATGGCGGGGTGGGAGGTTGAGGCAAATCGCCTGGCCGCTGGTTACACACAGCCAGACACCAGGGCGGTTAGAAGAGCACAGGAGGGTGCGGTGCGCATCAGAGAAGCTTTGAAAACCAGTTTCATGACTGGCCAGGCTACGGTGTGAAAGTTCTGTTTGTTTCTTCTTGATGAAACCCCCTGCCTCTTCGTTCACTCTACTTCCCTGTAAGCTAACCACCCTCCCCTCCTCCCTTCGATCACCGCTTGCAGAGGCAATAAAGTCATTGTTGCTTCACATTCATGCATTCTTTATTAATTCATCACATAAATAGGGGGATAACTGCCAAGGTAGCCCAAGATGGGTGGTGGAGAGAAGCACCAGGAGGGGTGGAGGAGGAGGGAAGGACAAGGCCACACAGCACTCTAAAAGTTTAAAACTTATTGAATGCCAGCCTTCTGTTGCTTGGGCAATCCTCTGGGGTGGAGTGGCTGGGTGGCCGGAGGCCCCCCCACTGCGTTCTCGGGCATCTGGGTGAGGAGGCTATGGAACTTGGGGAGGAGGGCGGTTGGTTACACAGGGGCTGTAGCGGCTGTCTGTGCTCCTGCTGCCTTTCCTGCAGCTCAACCATACGCTGGAGCATATTAGTTTGATCCTCCAGCAGCCTCAGCATTGAATCTTGCCTCCTCTCGTCATGCTGCCGCCACCTTTCAGCTTCAGCCCTCTCTTCAGCCCGCCACCTCTCCTCCCGGTCATTTTGTGCTTTCCTGCACTCTGACATTGTCTGCTTCCATGCATTTGTCTGTGCTCTGTCAGTGTGGGAGGACAGCATGAGCTCAGAGAACATTTCATCGCGAATGTATTTTTTTCGCCTTCTGATCTTCGGTAGCCTCTGGGAAGGAGAAGATCCTGTGATCCTTGAAACACATGCAGCTGGTGGAGGGAAAAAAAGGGGACAGTGGTATTTTAAAAGGCACATTTTATAGAACAATGGATACATTCTTTCACGGTAAACCTTGCTGTTAACATTACATACATAGCACATGCTTTTGTTCCAAGGTCGCGTTTTGCCTCCCCCCAGCGCATGGCTAGCCCCTCCCCGTGGCTAACAGCAGGGAACATTTCTGTTCAGCCACAGGCAAACAGCCCAGCAGGAACGGGCTCCTCTGAATGTCCCCTTAAGAAAAGCACCCTATTTCAACCAGGTGACCATGAATGATGTCACTCTCCTGAGGATAACACAGAGAGATAAAGAATGGATGTTGTTTGAATGCTAGCAAACATACACTGCAATGCTTTGTTGTACAATGATTCCCAAGTATGTAATACTGGCCTGGAGTAGTAAAGTGTCCTACCATGGGTGGATGGAATAAGGCTGCCCTCCCCAGAAACCTTTTGCAAAGGCTTTGGGAGTACATCCAGGAGAGCCGCAAATGCCAGGGCAAATTAATCATTAAACATGCCTGCTTTTAAACCATGTATAGTATTTTAAAAGGTACACTCACCAGAGGTCCCTTCTCCGCCTGGCAGATCCGGGAGGCAGCCTTGGGTGGGTTCGGGGGGTACTGGCTCCAGGTCCAGGGTGAGAAACAGTTCCTGGCTGTCGGGAAAACCGGTTTCTCCGCTTGCTTGCTGTGAGCTATCTACAACCTCATTATCATCTTCCTCATCCCCAAAACCTGCTTCTGTGTTGCCTCCATCTCCACTGAAGGAGTCAAACAACACAGTTGGGGTAGTGGTGGCTGAACCCCCTAAAACGGCATGCAGCTCATCATAGAAGCGGCATGTTTTGGGCTCTGACCTGGAGCGGCCGTTCGCCTCTCTGGTTTTCTGGTAGGCTTGCCTCAGCTCCTTAAGTGTCACACCGCACTGCTTCAGGTCCCTGTTATGGCCTCTGTCCTTCATGCCCTGGGAGATTTTTGACGAATGTTTTGGCATTTCAAAAACTGGAACATAGTTCTGATAGCACAGATTCCTCTCCCCATACAGCGATCAGATCCCGTACCTCCTGTTCAGTCCATGCTGGAGCTCTTTTGCGATTCTGGGACTCCATCATGGTCACCTCTGCTGATGAGCTCTGCATGGTCACCTGCAGCTTGCCACGCTGGCCAAACAGGAAATTGACATTCAAAAGTTCGCGGGCCTTTTCCTGTCTACCTGGCCAGTGCATCTGAGTTGAGAGTGCTGTCCAGAGCGGTCACAATGGAGCACTCTGGGATAGCTCACGGAGGCCAATACTGTCTAATTGTGTCCACACTACCCCAAATTTGACCCAGCAAGGCTGATTTCAGCGCTAATCCCCTTGTTAGGCGGTGGAGTAAGGAAATCGATTTTAAGAGCCCTTTAAGTCGGAAAAAAAGGGCTTCGTTGTGTGGACGGGTGCAGGGTTAAATCAATTTAACACTGCTAAATTCGACCTCAACTCCTAGTGTAGACCAGGGCATGGATTTATAAACAAAGGAATAGGAATTAGGAGTTGGGATGTGTGTTTACCTATGTATGAGAGTGATACTGGAATACTTTTGTCCCATTTTGGTGTTCGCATTTCAAAAAGGATATTGAAAAATAGGAGAGGATGCAGACAAAAGCCTCAAATGATTTGAGGGGTGGAAAGAATGCCTTTCAGTGACACATGGAGCCCAGTCTGTTTAGCTTATCGAAAAGTTCAAGAGGTGACTTGATCACTATGTATACAAGTTCCTTCATGGGGAGAAAATACTTGCAACTAAAGGACTCTTAAATCTATCAGAGAAAGGCATGAGAAGAACCAGGGACTGGAAGTTAAAGCCAGACAAATTCAAATTAGAAATAAGGCACAATATTTTAACAGTGAGGATTATGAACTACTGGAACAAACTATGAAAGAATGTGGTGGATTCTCCATCTTTTAATGTCTAGAAATCCAAGACTGGATTCCTTTCTGGGGGATATGCTCTAGTCAAACACAAGTTAATGGTCTGCACAGAGGTAACTGGAAGAAATGTTCTGGCCTGTGTGAAGCAGGATGTCATACTAGATGAACTAATGGTCTCTTCTGGCTTTAAAATGAATCTATGAACTTCTGGATCCGAGAAGGTGGTGGAAGTACCTGAAGCAGTCAGTCAGCATGCCATCCTACCTTTTTATAGCTATACCCTTTGAGTGTTAAGGAGTAGTGATGAAAGGATAGTGGGTGCATGAGCGCTCCCACAGGCACTGCTACTAAAAGTTCCAGTCCAGACTGCACAATCGGGCACATCTCAGGCGAGTGAACGTGCAGAAGTTGTCTTGAACTCCAGTGACAGGTGTGTAATCTTTGTTTCTCTCCATACAGGGCTCAATTTTGTAAGACTGTTTCAATGGAACTTCTTACATGCTTAAAGTTAAGCACGTGCGTAAGTGCTTTGCTGGATGCAGAGTGCACAGCACTTTGCAGGATCAAGCTCTTGCACAACTCCTATTTATGCTAATAATAGATTGAGAATTCTCTCTGTAGTTTGGAGGAAAAGGTTTAGAATACTTACAAGAATAAAGGAATATTGGAATAAGTCTCTTTGACAAAGGAAAATGTTTTTAAATCAGTGGCCAGCAGTGGCAATGAACAGTCTGTGTTATTACCACTTTATTGGAATAAAACAGAGGCTGGAACAAAAATGCACTTCCAAAATACAGTTCATTCTTCACTTCCTGATGAGAAAACCTTTATTCATATGTTAATCTTTATAGGGATCATTTTCTACATAGTTCCTCAAACCCTGAGATTTCAGCTTTCTTTGAGGAGAAAAAATTTTTTTGTTCCTTTTAAAATATCTATTAGTACAGAAACAAGTCTTGTAGCAATCTGAAATTGAAGTCCTTGGAAAATATATCTAGGTTCAACTGCAAATTTAGGTTGGATTTTGTAGTCAACTTTATATATTTGGACAGTAGAACTGTTACAATTTGCTGTCTTTTCCCCCACCTCAGAATAGCATTCCCTTCGAACATCATGGCAAGTAGCTGCTCGTCTCCTCGTTGGAAGGCAGCACTGGGTGAGTCCCTTCTTGTTAGACCCAAATCATTTTGGATGGGGTGGGATTAAATCCTGTGGAAACATCAGATTTGGCACTTCCTCCTCACATTAACTCTTACAATTGTATGCTTTATCTCTGTGCCCTACGCTCAGATGTCAGGTACTTGACGTGGCATTAGGATTCCTTCTGAATGTAAAAGTAAACATCCTTCTAAGAGTTGAAGTATTTACTACTGTTCTTCCTAAATTGTTTAGTAGAATTAATTGGTGATTTGGGAAGCCCCTATGGCTATTAAGGCATTGCTAATAAAATAAGCAGATCAGCAACTCTAAACCATCTAACGATCCTAGAACCACTAGTTACACCATAATTATGCTTACAATCTCAGACATCCATTCTAAACTAGACTGAGCTTTTAAAATTATGAAAAGATTACTTGTTCTGTAGACTTGTCATGGAGAACAAAATTAACTAATTCAAGTAAGGCTTTATCTTGGCATGAGTGGTAAAAGTTATTAAAGCATCCTTCATTTTTCTGTGTGTTTTAATTCTCTTCCATACCTTCTGAGCTGCCAGAGATTAAAAACTTTTTCAGATGAACTTCTGTTTAGTGTATCTGAAACATTAGCACCTTGAATATAGGCAGACTTGAACTTGGATACTCAAAATCCTTTGCCAGTGGATAGTGAAATAATTTCTGCATTTATGTGCAGTTTTCTAGTATTTAAGCCAATTGTGTTTTAGCAATAGAAACATTTGTGGGTCAAAATCTGTACCTCACTGTTGAAGGATACTGACTCTTAAATAACTTTAGAAGCTTCTTCTTTGCTTTGCTATATATTAAAAAGGCAATCATATTTTTCTGTTCCTTGTTAAATTACGTAGTTCTTTCCGCTGCTTTACTTTCTCTCTAAAGTTCCAGCTTGCACTAATCCTACATCTGCAGTTGGTGTAGCATCCTTCTCTTCCTCTTTTTTTATTTAATTTTCTCCGGTTGTTCTGTGTACTTGGCTGACTCCAGAAGCTGCTTCTTTCTTAAATTGTTGTAATATTCAAAACTGTCTGCAAATGATGGTTTACTGCTTTAGAGCCCCAATCATTAGGCCTTACTCAAGCAAAGCGACCATTGAAGTCAGTGCAAATCTTGCATGAGTTATGACAGCAGGACCCAGCCAGATCAAGATCTGGTCTGTTGTGCTTGGCCTTTATGTGCCAAAAATTTGGTAGCTACTTAAGACTGTTTCTCATTTTTAGAGTGCTATTGCTGCTTTGACATTTGTAACTTCTTAAATTAAAGGTACTGATGTGTGATGCCTTTAACTCTCTGTGGGCACTGTTACTTAAGACAAACTCAAGCTAAGTAAATAATATTGTGAAATGTGTTTAATATGGCATCACCAGTAAAAATCCAAAGAGCTCTGTCTTTTTTAACATTATATTTTTAACTTTATTCTTCGATTTGGGTTTCTTCAGTCTTGAATCTCTATCAGTTTTATTTCAAGAGCTCAGCAGTTTAATCTGGTTTTGTTCTTTTTTGCGTGCATGTTTTTGCTCTGATTTATTTGTTCTTCAAACTCTCTGCTTGTGGTGAAGAGGTCATTTCCTGTGTTAACCTTAATACAGAAGGAAAATGCAGATAACGTGATGTGGCTACAGGTAGGTATGAAATAGCCTGTGTAGTCCATTGGATTGTAGATTCTAGAAAGATAATTTTTTCCTTTTACTAGGGTTTTTATGCCCAGATGTTTTGCAACAAGTGGCTGAAACAATTTTGGTAGAACCATCTACGTACTAGTTAAAACGACTTGTGCTGATTTTATCTTATTCTTTGGCTCTGATAGATTCCTGCTCGTGTGACTACCAGTGTTCTCCAGTCTGCTGTGCACCGATGAAAATAATTTTGCCATAGAGGGCAGTTAATGCATGGCTGATCGCCTATGT